CTGCTTCTTACCTTGTGCAAGGCTTGGAGACAAATACACCCTGGTGGTCCAGTGGTGCTAGGCATTAATCTGCACCTCTGTTGGATGCAGGCTGAGTATATGACTCTCACCAGCACTGTCACAGTGTAGTGTCGGACCATTGATGTGCCAGAGCTTGTGCAGTGTTAGCTTTGTATGGACTGGCAGCTGACTGTGCCACCAAATGATGGATGGATAGACAGACTCACATTTCAACATGGTATGAATAAGTCATTTCCCACAAGCCAGTTTTCTAGTGAAAGATGACACAAACACATTCGTTTAACCAATCTGAAACAATAAAAAGTATGTGACAGAGATGGTGTAACCTGTAGATTAATCACTACTGATATGTGACCAGCTATCTGTATAATGTTGCACAACACATGCCACTGTGCAAACTGGATACTTGTTATATATGTAAAAAAAAAAAAAAAAAAGAATACAGCTGAAAATACAATATCTATGGAAGAAAAAAAACTATACATAGTGTAATACAGTATGGACAAAATAAATGACAAGAGGGGGAGGGGTGACTTCAATTGTGGGACTTTTATTGTCCCTTTTTCTGTATTTGTTTTTTTTACCTGTTCCTGCTGCTGGGCTGCTGGTTGATGTTTCACCTACCTTCTGCAGTACATTGCTCCAGGTCCACCTTATGTGGAGACAAGCCTGAATTCATTGCCCTCTTGTAAGTGCAATTTTAAACATTAAAGTGTCTATTTTTACTATATTACGCTATTGGCTTTCTTCTGTTTGCAGTAGCCAGCTGAAGTACCATTCCACATATAACCCCTCATTGTGGGTAGACAAGAATTATCAGACGTCTGGTGAGTTCTCTCACTTCCCCCTCCCTCCCTTGTCAATTATATTGTCCATACTGTATTATGCTATGCTTAGTTTTTTTTCTTCCAAAAATATTGTATTTTCAGTTGGTATTCATTCTCTTTCATATGGAGCTGTATCGCTTATACTTCGTATAGCTCTTCTGTTCACTCCTACACCTCCATTAGGGATTCAGTTTCTGTTTTTATACTTGATATATATATTTCCATGGTAACACAGTACCAAGTAGTTTAGTTGAAAGGTATGCTGGTTAAGAAGCTACAACTGTCTGATGGAGAACTGCAACTCTTATGACAATACCTGTACTAATGTTGAGGGGTTTTTTTGAGAAAAAAAAAACAAAAAAACTTTCCTTGGTATATTAGTACAAAAGATACCATTTCCAAATCTAATTTTTTCATATTTCACAAAAGTGCATGTGAAATATTTTTCTCTTAAAAGACGTTTAACTGTTCCTTCCCTGTTCTATATTTTGTGCAATCTATATGACTGTACGTGGTAAGAAATCCCACATCTCTTTTTCACTGTACTTTCACAAGCAATATAGTTCAGAGCCACTGACTACTGTGCAATAAATAAATAAATAAATAAATAGAAAACAATTTATAACACTACTTTAATGACAGTGTCAAGCAGGGGCCGACTGAGAGCCTTTGGGGCCCCCGGGCAAAATTAGATCCCAGGCCCTTTGAAGGCCAAATATATGTGCATTTTAATAAATGTTAAATATAATTCATAATACGGCATTCCTTTGGATGTGTGTATTGTGAAGACCTGTGTATCAATGCATGTTTGTATTTGAGCCTGTGTGAATGCACTTGTGCATGTCTGGATGACTACATGTGCTTTTTTGTA